GTAGATAGAGGAGTATGAATAGTTATGGTGTGTCTTAGGTCCCTCGTGGACCGAGGGTGGACCAAGAAACGCCTGCCAACCTTACCATACCTCTGCCCTAGGACGCCATTGGGACCTCCTCTTTGCAGTGTGTCGGTGATGGTACGAGCATGTTCTATCGATTGCCAGGAGCTGTTCCCAGTATTCACTGTGCGCTCCAAACAAACTCCTACGCATTGCTCCCAACTCCCTACGTCGGTGTTTGCTCTCTCTGCACACCTCCGCGCAGGAACCCAACCTCACACCTGACCCCGCTCCTCCTGTCATCAGCATCCTATCATGATCACCGATCAGATTAATCACCCGCTCACTCTTTTGCTCATTCGGTCATTACCCACTCATTCATTCGCGTGTCATGATCCCATCATGGTCGTTGCCAACCATCATCATCAATCACTCACACTCACTCTCACTCGCGCAGTCGCATTCACTCATCACCCACTCACTCATCATCATGCCGTCGTCTGGTATCGTGCCATCGTCATGGATCGCGTCATTATCAGACACCCTCTCCTTCTCATCACCATCACTATCACCATCGTCATCCCACTCACATTCGTTCGCACAATTACCACCATCATCACCATCACCATGCTCATCATCATACACATCATCACCATCATCACCACCATAGTCACAATCACTGTCACCTTCCAACGCCATCGCCATCATCCTCTTCTACAGGCACCATCTCCATCGTCACATCACCATCACCATCATCATGATCGTCATCACCCAACATCATCGTCATCACCGTTATCCTCATCATTCACCGTCACCATCACCAGCCCATCATCACCCACCAGCGCTCACCAGTACCATCACCATCATCACACATTTACCATTATCACCATCCCATCAGGATCATCGGTCAGACGTGAGCATCGCCTGTGAGTGAATCGCGAGGAAGTTTCAGGCGGGAGCCCCATCCCTATGGGGCCCGCACTTCATGTTCTAATCCGAGCGGGTCATCCAAATCCTATAATTGTCGTCATTGTTGGGCAGCTCAGGCCTGAATCGTGAGGAAGTCTTAGGCGGGAGACTCCAGTGTGAGTGAATCGCGAGGACGTCTCAGGTGGGAGCCCCCTCGCTATGGGGCCCGCACTTCATGTTCTAATCCGAGCGGGTCATCCAAAATGTCTAATTGTCGTCACTGTTGGGCTCCCGTTGCCTGAAAGTGGAGGAATTTTCGAGCTGTAGCCTCCTCCCCTTATGGGGCACGGATGTCATGTTGGTAATCCGAGCGGGTCATCGGGATCCCCGTACCTGTCGTCATGTTTGAGTTTCCGAGGCTTGAGTATGGAGGCAGTCTCGAGCGGGAGCCTCGTCTGTGAGTGGATCGCGCGGCGGCGGCGCAGACTCGCATGGCGAGGGGCTCGTTTCGGGGGCCTCTTTGGCGTCGCCCTGGAGCTGCGCAAGGAGGCGCGAGTGGGCAGAGGGCTCGAGGTGAGGGGCGGAGGAGGAGTGGGAGGACGTGGCGGAGGAGGGAGAGGACGAGGGGGAACACGAGGAGGAGAGGGAGGAGGACGGGGAACATGAGGAGGAGAGGGAGGAGGAGGAGAAAGAGGAGGAGGAGGATAAGAAATGTAACGGGTAGGGCGAGAAGGACGATGAGGAGGAGGAGGAGGAGGACGCAGAAGCAAGGAGGGCCTGCGCCAGTCGAAGAGGAAAAGGGCGATGGGAAGGCTAATTAGATTAATGTGGGGTCCTACCGTTGGAGTAATTGTTTGAGCTTTGTACATCTATAGAGTCACGCTTCCTAATCGCGTTTCATTCTAAGGTTCGAATACAGGTGAACCAGGACAGCAGACAGGGCCAAACAGGTGGGACGGATAGCCCGGTGACGTTTGGTCCGACAGCTGATGCGGCAGCCGTTTCGCAGGAGTTCCTTACAATTCATTCAAGAATCGCGCTCTCGCCCCTATGCCGGCTAATAGTTTGATCCGGACGGCCACGATTCTTGCAACAAATACATTCATCAAAGTGCGCATGATCGTATTCTCACCCTTGTCACACGGTCGCCATCCCTTGCTAAAGCTACATTCTTGTGCACGCGGTTGTGCTCTCACGGTTGTCCCACGGCCACGGTCCCTTGCTGCCCTTGCTGCAACAACACCGTGGTCCACATGGTTATGCTCTCACCCCTGTCACACGGCTAAGAGGCCTTGTGATCAAAAACGGTACGGTGCACATGGCCGTGCTCGCCCCCCTGTCACACGTTCACGATCTCTCGCAAAGAATGCATGGCGGTGCTTATGGCCCGGGGCCTCTTGGGGGCCTCTGGGGCCGTCTTGGGGCAATCTCGGGCCATATTGGAGCGTCGGAAGCCCGAGACGACGATGACGCGAAAATCATTGAACCACACACGGAAGTTCAATGACTTTGGCCTCCTGGAGGTCCTTTCGGAGCTTTCTTGGGGCTTTTGGGGTGCGTCTTGGGCTGTCTGGAGGACATTTGGGGACGTCTTGGAACCATCTCTGCCGTCTTGGAGAGGTCTCGGGACCTTCTCGCTCGCGCCATCTTGGTGGAGGCATCTGTGGGGCCGTCCTACCCGTCTTGCATGCGGCCGTCTGGGGGCCCTCTTCGGCCGTCTTGTGGCCCTCTTGGCCTGCCTTGCGGGCCTTTTGGCTGCCTTTGGGGCCGTTTGGGGGGCCTCTTGGGCCGTCTTGGGGCTCTCCTGGGCCGTCTTGCGGGCCTCTTGGGAGCCTCTGGGGCTGTCTTGGGGCGTTCTTTGGATTTATGTGGCCGTCTTGGAGCGTCGGAACCCCAAACAGACGAGGAAGCTAAAGCCATTCAACAACAAACGGACATTCAATGATTTTGGCCTCCTGGAGGTCCTCTTGGATCCCTTTTAGGGCGTCTGGAGGACATCTTTGGCCGTCTTGGGGCCATCTTTGCCGTCTCGGAGGCGTCTTGGGAACGACTCGGAGGCCATGTTGGCCGTCCTGGCGACATCTTTGTGGCCATCTTGGCCGTCTTGGCGACATGTTGACCGTCTTGGAGGCGATTTGGGCAATGGGAGACTTCTTTTTGGAGTCCTTCCGGGTGGCAATCGCGATCTGTCGAGACCCCATTGAGATCGTTTTGGGAGGGTCCAAACACTCAAACACTCAGCACGCCGTGCACCGCTGTGGCAAGCGACAGAGAGCGGCGGGTCTCACTGTCAATAATCGAAGACGCCTACGGCGAATCACCGCCGCCCCCTGCCTTTGTGGAAGCGCCTATGTGGCCGAACGTTGAGGCCAGACCTGCCAAGCCATCGGACCATGTGTTCCCCGAATCGGTTTGGAAAGCCTTCGGGGAACACGTGGGCGTCTTGATGGTCATCGTCGCCGTCTTGGAGGCCTCTTGGGCGATCTTTCGGCGATCTTTGGGGGCTCTTGGGCCGTCTCGGGCCGTCGGAAGGCCGAAAAAAGGGAAATGCCCAAATCCATCAAAAACCTTGGGAAAATCAGTGATTTTGGCATCTTTTGGCCTTCCTGGAGGCCCTCTTGGGGGCCTCTTGGGCCCTTTTGGGCCAGCTTCGAGCCAACTTCGGCCATCTTGGTGGGTTCCTGGCACGTCTGACGCCGTCGGGAGCCGTTTTGGGGGCCTTTCTGGGCCAACGGGGGACCCTCTTGGGGCGCTCCAGGGCCGTCTTGGAGGCCATCTTGGGCGTCTTGGAGGCCATCTTGGGCGTGTTGGAGGCCTCTTGGGCCGTCTTGGGGCCCTCTAGGGGCCATCTTGGAGGCCACTTGGGCCATCAGGGGGCTCTCTTGGGGGCCTCTTGGGCGATCTTGGGGGCTTCTTGGGCCGTCTTGAGCCGTCGGAGAGCCGAAAAGGCGCAAATGCCAAAATCCTTCAAAAACCAAGGGAAAATCAATGATTTTGGCCTCTTCGGACTCTCCTGGAGGACCTCTTGGAGGCCTCTTGGGCCGTCTGGGAGGCCTCTGGGGGGCCTCTTGGGCCGTCTTGGGCCGTCTTGGACTCTCTTGGGCCGTTTTGGAGGCCGTCTTGGACCATCTCGGGCGGACTTGGAGGCCATCTTGGGCCATCTTCGCGATTTGTTGAGGATGTCCCGAGCGAAACGGCCGTTCTTGGAGGATTTTTTGCGGTCGTTGAGCACGTTTGGGGAAATTCCGGGTGGCCGGCGGGTTCTGCCGGAGCCTACTGGGAAGTTCTTTTGGAAAAAGAACCAAAACCAAAACCTGAAACGTCCAGCACGCCGTGCACCCCTGCAAGCAGGGGGCGGCGGATCTAGTTGTTTTCGGCCCATCCCGCCACCGTGCATTGCTTGTAGGTCAGATGCCCCTCGAGAGCCAGCGAGGATTTCTTGGGAGGCCTTTCGGCAGCCTCTTGCAGGCGGTTTGGATGGAGGATGCTTGGGGCCTCTCGGGGGTCTCTCGGGGGCCGCTTGGTGGCCTCTTGGGACCTCATTTTAGCTTCATGTGGGCCTCCTTAGGCTTCTGTGGGGAATGTTGGAGATGCTGGGCGGCCTCGAGCGGATACCCTACGCGAAACGCTCCAATGGGATCGCGCATCCCTGGGGCCACGCCATGGTATCCAGACCACTCGCGCATGGATATGGACAGTCATGTTCTTCGGTCGCGATCCCCCTCAGGCCCTCTGAGATCCGAGGCTACGAGGGAACTCGCTTCGCCGTGAAAGATCACCGCCTGAGGCCCAGGCGGATCGCAGGACTTCTGCTCGTCGTTCTCGATGTTCCCCCTCCCCTGATGGGCCTGTTTTTCACCACCACCACCATAAGTTGGAGGGGGGGAGGAGGAGGAGGAGGAGGAGGACGAGGAGGAGGAGGAGGAGGAGGAGGAGGAGGAGGAGGATCCACTCTCCCTCCAACTTATGGTGGTGGTGGTGGAAAGCAGGCCCATCATCCCCCTCTGAGCCTCCGCCCTCCGGCGAGGAGTCCGCGCGCCCGAGCCTGGCGCGTCGAGCGCACGCCCCCCCCTCCCCCGCGGCCGCAGGCGGCGGGCATCAGGGCCCCGAGGTCGCGGCTGGAGGCGCAGCCCGTGGAGCCGACGAAGGACGCCGCCGCCCGACGACGCCGGCATTCGCCAGAGAGGAATCCGTCCGTTTCGGGCCGCGGGTTCGCTCGAGCCTGGCGCGGCTGTGGCTTTCCAGTTGAGGTGGATCATCGATGGCTCCTCGCATCGGCTACGCCCTAGGAGTAATACTATGATGCTAGTGCTGGTGGTGATGATGCTGAGGAGGAGGAGGAGGAGCAGGAGCAGGAGGATGAGGATGACCAGGATGACCAGGATTATGATGATGATGATGATGATGACGATGACGATGACGATGACGATGATGATGATGATGATGATGATGATGATGATGATGATGATGATGGTGGTGGTGGTGGTGGTGGTGGTGGTGGTGATGATGATGATGATGATGATGATGATGATGATGATGATGATGATGATGATGATGATGATGATGATGATGATGATGATGATGATGATGATGATGGATGGTGGTGGTGGTGGTGGTGGTGGTGGTGGTGGTGGTGATGATGATGATGATGATGATGATGATGATGATGATGATGATGATGATGATGATGATGGTGATGGTGATGGTGATGGTGATGGTGATGGTGATGATGATGATGATGATGATGATGATGATGATGATGGTGGTGATGGTGATGGTGATGGTGATGGTGATGGTGATGGTGATGGTGAGTGTGGTGAGTGTTAGGGAAAGGCGGAGTGTAATGATGCCGATGATTCTGACGATGGTGAGATCGATGTAGCTATGATGTTGATGATGATGCTGATAACGATGATGGCGATGCTGATGATGATGACGATGGTTCAAGGTGCTGGTGATGGTGGCGGTAGAGTGGAGGAGGAGGAGGAGAAGGAGGAGGAGGACGAGTGCTTCCACCCGGGGAAAGCAGCGGCACCACACGCTCCAGGCCTCAAGAAGTTGGTCGAGGGAAAGGTGGTCGGAGGGTCGCGCCGCATCGCCGATGCATTGGCGATGCGGCTCGATCTGGAGCACGATTCTCCTCACGCCGACGTCGCCACTGCATCGCCGGTACATTTCCAATGCATCGGCGACGTCGGCGCGATCCTGCGACCCCGCCCATTCGGACCCGAGGTGGCAGGCTCCTACACACAAACTGCTGAAAGAGCCGCGCGGGCTTCTTGGATCCGCGCTGGCCTCGCTGCCCCTGGCGCGTGCCGCGCGGCCAGCGGGCTGTCCAGCGTCGGTCCAAGAAACCCGCGCGAGTTTTCGAAAGGCGGCACCACCACGACGCACGACGCAGCGTGTGGCAGGTCAAACAGAACAAAGAGAGAACCTTGGCCGCCCAGAGCAGTCAAACTCCTGAGAGCGCTCACATAAGTCTCGATACAGTGGAGGTCCATGCCAAGAAACACCCTGCTTGCCTCCAGGGCACCCTGGGTTTCTCGGGTTGCGATGGCTTGCGATGGCAAGCGCGACGTTGCCGCAACAGGAATCATTGTACGTCCTGAGGTCCCAGGTGTTTTTGTTGTGTGTGGAAGGTTTCTTGAGGACTGGCCTCCACCGCACTTCATGCTCATCAGTTCCCGGTTGACGATTATAGTTCAACAGGTCGGAGGGTCCTGGGCGATGGGGTATGTTTTCATCGGCCGCGCGTCGTCGTGTGAGGGGGCGTCGCGAGCGGCCGCACGGGCCCCGAGGTGCGTCCCGCAGGCCAGCGGGGGGACGAGGAGCGGATCGGCTCGGACTCGGGGCGGCGTGCTAATGAAGCGTTCCCCCCCGCGCCCCCGAAAGCAGACGCTCCCATTACACCGTAGGCGATGCTTAAGAAAACTTAAGTTTTCGGCCAGAGTCTCGATTATTCTTAACGTTTCAATGTAAATCTTAAGATTTCAATAGAAATGCTGGGTTTTTATTCAAGTTCTGAGACTATGAATTTCTTAACCCATGATTTCTCAACCATTTCGCGTGGTGTAGTCTGCTGTTGTGGTCCAGTGCGCGTCCGCGCCAAGTTTCCGTGCGTGGGCCCGCCTACATGAGAGGTCGGCCTCCTCGTTGCTCTGCGGTCAGCCTGGTGGTCCCGTCGGTGCTGCTCGTCTCCGTTTCGGCCACTCGTTCTCCGAAATCGCCCTGCGCGTTGAGTGTCAGCGCGAGTTCTCTCGGCAGGTATAGCGTTCCGTGGAATGGTACTGTTTTTGCTTGGGTGGGTTTACTTGATCGTTTTATGGCCCCGAGGGAGTGTCGGGACCCCCGCCCTGACGTCTGACATTCGTTTGCCCTTCTGGGTTTGTCACGTGCTTTCTGATCTTAGCCCCCCTCCTGCTGATATCTCTCGTTCTCCATCCTTACCCCTCCCCCTTCCATCCGTCCTATCTTCCCCTATTTCGGGGGCTGCGCTAACTGAGCGTGGCACAGACGGAACATATGCCGCCAACGGGTTACGATCGAAGGCGAAGAGGGCGGATACCGAGGCTTCGGGGTATACACATTGAATGGCACGCGAACAGGTGGGACAGATCAGTCTTGGCATGGTTATTGTTGCTGCTGTTGTTGCTGTTGCTGTTGTTGGTGTGGTTGTTGTTGTTGTTGTTGTTGTTGTTCTTGGTGTGGTTGTTATTGTGGTTGTTGGTGTTATTGCTGGTGTTATTGTTGCTGCTGCTGTTGTTGTGATGCTTGTGGTTGTTGTGTGATTGCTCTTGCTGCTGCTGCTGTTGTTGTGATTGTGGTTGTTGCTGGTGGTGGTGGCGTTGGTGTTGTTGGTGTTGCCGCGGGTGTTGCTGTGTGTTGCTGCTACTGCTGCTGTTGTTGATGTTGTTGTAAACTGGGGGCCAGGGGCGCAGTCTGAGCAGCCTGATTCACATTCTTATGGCAACCCCAGGTGCGAGCCACGGGCGGAGCACTGCAATTGAGAGCACAATGTGCACTGGTGGGGTGGTGCCACTAACAGTTGTTCTTTAGAGATGAGAACTCAACAAACAACAAGCAAGCACAACCTGAGCCGCGGAATCCCACATCACCCACGCAACCAGGGGTGGTGTAAGACCGTTCGGCCCCCCCCCCACTCCTGATATTCATACCCTGAGCCTCGCACCAGATATTCGAGTACCCATATGGCATGCTGGGCCGCCCAATGTGCTCGCGGAGCGGGGTCAGGGATGGCCCCCCAGGAGGACACATGCGCACAGATGTCGCAATCCGCAGACGCTCGTGGGCATGACTCCGACGAGAGTCGGCACCGACCGTTGCAGTTGTCGGCGACGAAGTCCGAAGCCCAGCCTCACCGACCAACGGTTCAGGCAACTCGACGGGCGGCCGGGGTAGGGCTCGCGTCGAACACGTGGCTAAGCTGTCATTGCGCGCCGCCCCTACCAGTCAAAGAAGGTGCGCGACCGACAACAATATGTGAGCGACAGACAGCGTGCCCGAAGGTGTGACCGAAAACGTAGTGTGACCGAAGTTGTGACCGAAACTGGGAACCGCAGTTGGCTCCAGACCAGGCATGTCGGTCAGACTAGGGCGCGACCAGAACAGTTGGGGCGCTAGTTTCGGTCAAGCGCGTGCAGATGTTCTTTCAAAGTCTCGGTCGCTACACTCCCCGGGTAGAAACAAGCCTACGTGTCACTTCTTCTTGGGGCCATCTTGGCGTCGATTGGAGGTTCGCGTGCTCCTGGGAGCCCCCTGGGGGCCGCTGGGGGCATGAGGGGTGTGCCGAATTGAGGTCCCATTGTGAGCCAAATCGAGGCTCCGTTCGGCCGCCTTGAGAGGCCACCTAAGAGCCTGTGAGGGTCCACAGGCACGAAGTGCTTGAGGGGTGCCACGCTGGGGCTCTGTTGAGGCGTCTCGGTTCCGTTGAGGCGTCCCGGGGCCAATTGGGATGGGAAGAGGAGGAGGAGGAGGAGGAGGAGGAGGAGGAGGAGGAGGAGGAGGAGGAGGAGGAGGAGGAGGAGGAGGAGGAGGAGGAGGAGGAAGAGGAGGAATACGTAGGATAACTAGTAGGGTGTAGGGTGTTGGGCCTAGGGAGGAGGAGGAGGAGGAGGAGGAGGAGGAGGAGGAGGAGGAGGAGAAGGAGGAGCAGGAAGAGGAGGAGGAGGTGGAGGAGGCGGTGGAGGAGGACCAGCGCCAGACCGCGTCGTGCAACCGAGGGACGGGAGCACGGGCTTTGCATGAGAAAGTTAGACGGGTCTTAAAAACATGCCCGTCTTAGGGTGGCGACCAGCCTTGATGGCAGAAATGGCATATGTCTGCCGTTCTCTGCGCAGCCCGTGCTCCGACGCCCCGAGACATTCCGCTTGCAGCGTACAGTTAGCTACTTTGCCACGCGACGCTTGGTAGGAGCCACAAAGCGTACAATCCATCGCCCAGGGCAGCACCAGAACCTGGTGCCCTTGGAGCTCGACGATAACTTCCTCGGCGGCGGACTGAGGCCCCGCAGATCCAGAAACACCCTGGACGTCCTGTGGCAAGCCAACACCCTCAAAATCCGCAGCCCCATTCAGGGCAACATTCACAGCGTGAGACCTCATGAGCGGAGCTCGCTGGAGCTGCTGGTCCGCACGAGCCTTCAGCTTCTCTTGGGCCGTCGGCTTACATTCAGTTCCCAAGAGCTTCCCAAGACTGGCCTGCGTTCGGGCAACCGCAAGACATTCTCTACACGGGGAGACTTGGGGAGACCTAGCAACCATATTATGACCAGTCAGGGCTACACAGGGCACATTGTACAGAGGGACCCTCAGGAGTTGCTCAGGACGACCGCTCAGTTGATCACGTGCAGCCATCTTGGCCGCTGCCCAAGAGAATACTTCGCCTGCATCTTTGCATCCTGAAGCCAAGCTTCAAAGTACTTGACCACCGCGTCAGGTTGAGCGCGTTCAAGGGCACCTCGCTTAGCAAAATAATCTGCCCAACGATTGCCCATGACAAACTCCCATGGCAACCTCTTTTCCTCAGCACAGTCGACATATTCGTCATCTGTGAGGTGCGCTGGGCACCACACAAAAGAAGGTCGGCCATTTCCTCCAGGATACCTTGCCAGGATGGATCGCCAGATGTC